CACCCCCCACCTTCCAACACCCTCCTCTCCGCGACCCTCGCGCCCCGCTGGGCCACCCCTAGGCCCAACCCGTGACTCCACGATAGTAGTTAGAAGACCGTGCAAATATTTAGCCATGCAGAAAGCCCCCCGCCCCTCTCCTCTGGCGCAACCAGGCTTGTAGGATAGGGACAGGAGGGGAGTGGGGATCGGGGGGTTTTAGCTTGGCATCATGACAAGGAAGTAGTTGTGGGACCCGCAGACAACAAACAAAACAAGTTGAAAACTTGAAAAATAAATTTGTTGGGGTGGGAGAAAGAGACGGCTAGGTGAATGAAAACTCCCAGGTTCAGATACAGTCCAGTAATCTACACGAATACTGCGATAAATTATTCAAAACTAAGGCCGAAGCGTACGTGTATTTTTTCTAGCGATAAGGGAAAGTGCGGATGAGTGAAATATGTGAAGTTTGTGGTCGGCTTTGGCACGGCTTTCCCCAGCGCGAAGTGCCCCATGCCTCACGAGATAACGACGAGCTTAAGACGGGTCCATTCGAGTGAGAGAATTTCCTTGCGTTTTTTTGATGTACGAACCATAGGACGAGGACGCTAGAAAAACAGATACACTCGACAAACACACAGCAATAAAAGAAAAGAGATGACCCGATTCCTACCAGGTGGTTTCGTCTGGGAGCAAAAGAAATGAGTAAGCATCACCCACTGCTGCAACCTGTGGAAAGTGAAGTACCGACACACTTGGCATGATTTGCACGTTTCGTGTGCAGGGTCAAGACAAGAACGCCATTTTGGTGGTAAGCTTACAGGATAATTGAGTAGAAACAAATGTATTTGGCCCCATTCACTATTATTAATGCTGCAAAAAAAGGGTTTAAAAATATTCACATTATTTTTGATTTGGCGTGTTGCCTCATACATACCTTTTTGATTAGTACGGTCCGTAATCCTTTGAAGTCCTTGTACCTCTCCTCCGGTGTCTGGAACAGCGTTCAAGCGTTTATTAAGCGGCTATCACTCACTTGACAATAAGTCGCTCAGTGGCTCACTCAGTCACCCGCTTACCTCATCGTCGAGCGAGACGGGGAATTGAGTGAGAGGCTTCACCGCGAGCTCCTCGACGGCCGCCTCCCGCCTGAAACACGCAACACGCCAAACCGCGTTGAATGGGTTGCATAAGCCACGGGCGCCCCGCGGGCGAGAGAGAGAGAGAGAGGGAAGGAGACGACGACGACGGCGCCCGCGAGCAGCCTTCAGGAGGGTGCAAGAGAGAGAAGGAGGGGTGCGGGACGGGTGTCAAGCCATCCGACTCTCTCTCTCTCTCTCTCCGTAAAGCGTCGTCTGCTGTCTTTGTCACGCTTATGTTGTTCCGACGCCACCAGCGGTACCGTTTCGAGGAAAAAGGGGAAAAGAGGAAAAGGGGAATAAAGTCCCGGGCTAGCCGCCAGCCGCGGGGGAGCCACTGAGAGCAACCGCTGCCAGCTCTGCAGTGGCTGACACATGGATGATCCACAACATCTTGAAGGCAATTTTGAATTAAGACGCACAAAATGTTCACCCGTTTCACTAAAGAAGACTATTAAAATTAATAATAAGACAAAAGGAATACAGGTTTGTTTGTTAAACTAAGAACTTTTCATAGTGGAAAATGCAAGGTTGTTAAAAAGTTGTTTCCCCTTGGGCTCACCTCAGCACCACCACCTTGAACACCGGTCCGGGCAGCCCCTTGATGATGGCCGAAGCGTTGAGGTGACACCGGCCCTGCACCACGACCCCGTTCACCTGCAGACAGGAAAATCATCAGGTTCATTCATATGGGAGACAACACTGAAAAATAGTAGGTAGGTTTACAGGAAAATTTTCCTTGACGCAAGTTGTAAAATTACAATTTGGAATATAGTAAAAATACATGCAGCACGTATCGACTTCAAATCCATTAATAGGCGAGTAAAAAATGTGCTCTCGTAAATTTACAACTTAAATTATAATTCGAGTTTACAAAAATTTTGTAAATTTACGACGATATATTTTTACAGTGAAACGGGGAAGGACGGTACAGCGTCATGTCATAATTATTACAATAATTATCTGTGAGAGGGTAGGCTGGGCCGCGGCCAAGGGGTGGCAGCTCATTAGTAGACAGCTCGGTACACATTAAAGTCACGCTCTGCCCGTCCCCTGCTGCCCCCCTCCTCTCACCTCCCTCCCCTTCCCTTTCTTCACCCCCACCCCCTCCCTTCCTCTTACTCCCCACCCCCTCCCCTCTTTCTCATCCCTCTGGACCTGTTCATCCGGCTTCATCCCGAAGGGACAAAAACTCGGTGTAATTTTTTTCCCTTCATTTTCCTACACTGCTCCAGAATCAACTTATTTTTTAAAACCACCCAGTTGTTGTTTTTCTTTCTGTTCACGTTGTTTTTATTTTTTAAAGTTATTTAAGTTAAGCCAGGCTTCCCCTGACTGCAAAACGAGTTTTAACAAAAATATTAGCACGAGAAAAAGTTAGCTTGTATACTACGAATCTCGAATTTTTGAAGAAATGAAACGTATTTAGACATAAATTTTTTCCCTTCGGTCTCACTGCAAGTGCCCTGTATCTCTGCATACACAGAACTAACCAGACCTGACCCCCCGAAAGCAATTCAATCATCCCCTACCCTCCCTTTCCACAACTTTTACGACTAGCAATGAAATTTGAGGCCACGCCGAGGCAAGCCAGGCCTGTCTGTATGCCGGGCACGGCCTAGCGGCAACTGGGAACTGTCCGCTCTCTACTCTCCCTAGCTCTGCCCTTCTCCGCCTCTCTTCACTCCGTTTCTTCTTTTCTTTCCTTGTAAACTAGGAGCGGTTTCATTTCCAGGCTAAACGGTGATGAATTTTAAGAACCCTTTTTACCGGTTCTTTCCATCACAAGGATGAAGCACGCCAAGTAAAACGGGGAAGATGGTAGAAGGAACTACCGCCCCCCCCCATACCACCCAAAAAGAAAAAAGAAACTTAAAATGGGGAGAAGAACTCTTCCCGTCACCCTATTGAATGCCTTTTACATTCGAGGTAATTTCCGCTAGTCAGTCGAGCGAGGCCGACGTTGAAGAACAGTCAAACCTTGGTCGAACCACACGCGCGAGAGAGGGGGAAAGGGTCTTATGGACTTTGAGTGTGAGAGAAATAGAGATAACTTCCTTTAAGGCTTTCTCGCTCTCGCTCTCTCTCTCGCACCCATGGTTCGACGGCACCGCACCGTGACGTCACGACCTCGGTCACGTCTCCCACAAACAACAACTTTCCCTTCGCTGCTCACCATCCCCCACCCCCCACCCCCACCTCAAGGAACAACGCCCCCTTCTCCGTCGCACCCGCCCGGAAGTGAAAGGCAAAAGGGGGCGAAAGTGTGGCGAGCGGAAGGGGCGAGGAAGCCAAAACAAAACCGTTTGATTTTCCCTCCACGCGCTGCATGCGCCTGCGGTTAGGGAGATTGAAGAGGAAGTTTCAAAGCTTGTCACGAGAAAATCCGACGTGAATTGGAAGAACACGATAATTATCACATTCAAGCCCAAACAATTTTTCATTCTAACCAAACGTTTTTAAGTGGGCACCGACGTGTTTTTTTTATTGACGACTACACGGTAAAACCGTCGTCTTGGTTTTCATAACGTTTTGGAAAAACTATGACGTCTTATGGAAGAAATGCATGGGGAACATCATGGCTTTTCAAACGTCATGAAAACCAGGACGTCGTTTTTACCGAGTACTGTCGGCCCTATCTTATAGGAGCAGCTCTGAGGAAAGGAGGAAAACGCAGCGCATAGAATTCATAACCTTCGTAACAAGTTTTGTTTGGGAAGAGACATAACCGTGACGGTAACGCCGCGCGGGAAGCTTCGAAACGCGGCGCGCACACGCAGCGGAAAGTGATTCTATGGATGGATGGATGGATGGATGGATGGATGGATGGATGGATGGATGGATGGATGGATGGATGGGTTCGGATTTTTTATGCACACGCATTAAGACGGACAGAGGCTGGGGCGAGCACCCTGCTTACATTCCCTGGTATAAGCTGGGTTGGCGGTAATCCGACCCTGAAAATAAGACACGCCCAAGTGGAAGCAAGGGATGGTAAAAGAAAAAAACAAGGAAAGAGAGGGGTAAAAACCACCCCGGCGAAAAGGAAATGGAACAAATGGAGAGAAGGCGGCCGGACAAGGCAGGCGCAGCAGTAAGGGAACGAATAAGGAGCAGGGGGAAGACAAGAGCAAGGCGATATGGTCCGATATCGCAGTGGGCTGTCAATTTCACTGGGTCAAATCACAAAAGGGCCATAAATCAGAGAGAGAGAAAAGAATGGAGTCGGCTCGGGCGACTTGGCGCCGATCGGCCTACCCTCCATTCTCCCGAACCGCCTTTTCCGCACCCCTCTCCATCTCGTCTTACCCCCCCCCCCCCTTAACTGCCATTCTTTTCGATACACCCATCTGTAAGCCCTTTCAACCCCTCGCCTGATCCGGCGCCTAGAAGGCTCGCCGAACCGCCGTCGCGCGAGGCCGAACGAACGGGACCGGAGCACACCATACAAGCTCAGGCGATAGTTGCAGCAGAAGGGTGGCGGATGAGAGGGTGTGGAGTGAGAGAGGTAGGGAGAGGACATGGAGGGAGAGAGAGGATATGCAGAGAGGGAGAGAGAGAGGGAGAGCACCCACTCTGGAGTTTTGCATCCACTTATCGCAGTTACGAGCAGTGATGAGATTCGTGCCGCGGGCTCTGTCGGTACGGAGCGGGGCGGGGCGGGGCGG